TTTTGAATACTAACTAGTTCTTAGTACACACAGTTATGTTTTAAGTTTTAATTTGTTCAATAAAAACAGTTTGTGTGCATATTGTTACGTTCACTGTCTGTGTGTCCTGAGAGCTCTTCAGGGCAGCACTAATGAGCGCAACCATTACCGGATATGTGCGTTGTACGTTAAACTTTCACAGGAAAGGGACGTGTTAGATGCATGTACGCATAAGTTTCAGGAAATAAGCAAAAGTACACCCGTGAGACACATTTTTCATCCGATGTTGGGGAACTTAAGCCAAATTTAATAAATATTACATTAACAAATCACAGTAAAAGCCAAGGAGGTCGTGTATGTCGTGAATGTCACACTGCAAGCAAGCCTCTGTGAAGAGGCTTGCCCTGTGTGACATAGAAATATTTTAGTCTTATCATATAATTACTTGTTCTGTTATCATGTAATTAATTGTATCTAGACTGGGGACTGGAGCTGAATGAAAGACATAAGGTCATAGGATATTTTGACGATCATGCCCTGTTAGGGAAAGCCGTGAAGAGATCGCAGAAGCCACCAGGATCTTGGAAGCGGAAGCAAGAAACATAGGAGTTAGTCAGCGACGAAACTTGACACTCGCATTCAAAGCCAAGATATATGTGTGGAAGATACAAAGTATAAGGGTCAAAATTAAGTATCCGTTCAAATTTAAGTATCTAGGATGGACGATGACGGAAATAACACCAAACTGCAGAATCAAATTACGCGTAAATGCCTTAAGATGCAGTGCTACCCTGCATAAAGAGCTAGTGTCCAGCCCTCTCAGTAGATAAACGAAAACCCGCATTTATAAAACAGTCATAAGGCCTATTCTGACATACGGTTGTAAAGCCTGGACACTAACATAGAAGGAAGAGGACAATGTCTTAGTAGCAGAAAAAAGGAAAAAAAAGAAAAAAGTTCTTAGCAGCTGAAGAGTGCGGAAAAACTTCGAAACATAAAAACTCATGGCCGAGCTAAACATCATTGAAGAAATGAAAGCACATCGCCTCCGGTGCCTCGGTCATGTGGAACGGATGAGGCAAGATCGAAGTGCAAACAGAGCATATTTTTATTGACCGATTGGCCAAAGTCATCACTGGCAACACACACTGGTTGTACAATTTCGTTTTCAGGTTTTGAGATATGTCTAACGAGAAGATGTGTCGTAGTTTCCCGAACGCTGCCCAGCAGAGTTGAATCCGTCGATTGACCTCTCGGTCGAAGTTGGACTTACCTTTTTTTTTACGGGGGGAAATCCTCATGGACTACCTCCGCCTGGGGAAAGTCGAAGGGGCGTGCCGGACTCTTACCGGCTAAAACCACCCCGGTGTCTCCTCACACGTGCGCGTGGAGCCGCGGGAATCCAAATTCTTCCGCAGCCCCACACTAGTGATGGCCCGGTCTGTCCGGGCCTCGTCTCCTGCACGGGGTAGTAAGGTGTTCAACTACCCCATGTATCGCCTCAGGGGCGCGCGCCGACACACGCGCGCGCTTCCGCCACGAGTCCATCGAGTAGGGGTGGCGGGGGCTTCCCCAAGTCCCTCGCCCCTGGACCTATTCATGGGTCCCGGAAAAGGGCGTTGTCCGCCCTTCTCCAGCGCCCGGTGCGCCTTCTGCGGCCAGGGAAGGGAGTCGAGATCTCCCTTTCCTGTTCCGCAGTTTCCTTCTGCGACATCACATCCTCGCAGAAGGACACCACCGCATCCCACGACTCTGCGCTACTGACCATTTTCCGCACTAAGGCCGGCAGCGACAGATCGCCTCCTACTTTATTTGTGAGGACACGGCGCTGCTCCTCCCAAGCTACACCCTTGGCGAGCGTGTATTGCGCCATGTCCTCCCCGCAATGGACGCAGTGGTGGCACCGAGCGCCCGGCTCCCTATCTATGCGGCACAGGTACTTGCCGAAGCAGCCATGCCCCGACAGCACTTGCGTAACCCTAAACGACAGGGAGCCGTGCTTTCTCCCGAGCCAGTCGTCGAGTACTGGCCGGATCGCCTCGACGGTAGCGAGGCCGGCGGTAGGGCGCAGAAGCCTTTGCCGCCATTCCGCCACCAAGACCTACGGAGCTCCTCTCGACGCAGCGCGATCTGCCGCTGCACTGGCCTCGAGCCCCGTGCCCGCTCTTCCTCGCGCCATCGATATAATGACGCGAGTACTTTCGCCTCTAGGTCCCAGGGCGGGGATCCGGGCAGTGACGAGCGTGTCGTCCGTCAAGTCGGCGCCCGACAGGAGTTCACCTCTCAGCACCCAGTCGTAGCCGATGTTCCACAGGAGCGGTCCCAAGACCGATCCCTGCAGAACACCGCACGACATGACGCGCCGACCAGCGCCGTCACGTCTACAATAGGTAACGCATCTCTCCTCAAGGTAAGCCCCTATTATGCGGCTGAGGTAGGGAGGCACGCGATGGACGGATCGTTACTCACACTTGCGTGTGGCTCCAACGATGACGTGTACTGCCCATAGAACCTCTCAATCTCACTCAAAATCTCAGGTGTCCCGGAAACGATGCTGCCACACTCGGTCTTCAGCCTTGACAGTTGGCTCTCTCTGGCAGACAGATCTCTGGCAAAGACTTTGGAGCCTTGGTTCCGCTCGATCGCTTCTTCAATACAAGCTGTATTGAAGTTGCGTAAGTCCCGCCGCATGCATTTGGAGATCTGTCTGTTCAGTTGCCTGTATGCTGTCAAATCCGTTGAAGAACGTAGCTTCATCTCCCGTCTAACAGCCATGAGATTAAGAGTGTGATTGGAGAGTTTTCGTGTTCTTCTGCAGCGGGTCTTGCAGAACTTAGCTCCAACCGCATGGACAGTTTCCACGAGCTTGTCATTCATATCGTCCACTTCATTGCAGTCGTCTAGGCACTGAAAACGGTTTTGTAACTCGAGCAGAAAGGTTTCGGGACTTTGGAACAAAGCATGAGGGGGACGGAGCGTTGATTTCATTAGACGAGACCTCCCCAACTTAACATTTAGGTTCAGTGTGCCTCTAACCATTCGGTGATCCCTACCAGTTTTCACCCTCTCGATCAAGGAGATATCACTGAACAGTTGTCGGCTAGTCGTCATAATGAAGTCAATCTCATTTTTTAAGTGTTAGTCATAAAGTGTTCATCATAAAGAGTCCCTCTTTCTCCATGAAGGCGGCCAGCTTCTGGCCCCTTGGGTTCCGTTGCCCTATTCCAAATCTCCCTACTTTCAGCTCACCGTTCTCTCTTGTGCCTAGTTTTGCATTGAAGTCTCCCATTAACACCGTATAGTGGGTTTTGGAGGAATGCATGGCTCTAAAGATATCCTCATACATTTTCTTCACCTCCTCATCAGGATGTGCCGAGGTTGGTGCGTAAACCTGTATAACCTTCAGCGAATACCGTTTGGTGATTCTGAGTATAAGGTACGCAACCCTCGTCGACACACTCTCAATCTTTACAACGTTGTTAACGAGAGACTTGTGGACGATAAATCCGACACCTCCTTGGGACAGATGGTCGCCCTCCCGGTGATAGAGCAAGTTGCCGGATTCGAGGATTACCGTGTCCTCCCCCTTTCTTCGGACCTCAGATAATCCTATAATACGCCAACTGGTCTATTTCTTCTTCCAGCTTCACGATCTTCTCGTCAGTCCTCAGGGTGCGTGCGTTGTATGTTGCCAGGTCGAGTCGTCTTAGGTGGCAACCGAACCTACACCGGAGATTCTTAGCACCCCCTGCCCCGCCGTTACCATGGTCGCCACCGTAGCCACGAATAGCGGGGCCGCCGGAGACTGGGGGCCGTCTCTTTGTTGCTCTCATCATTGGGGGGGGGGGTATTTGCCATAGTTGCCACGCTTGGCGAGAGGGTTGGCAACCGCAGTTTTTTATTGTAATTTTGCTGTTATCAGGAAGATGCTGCTGCCCATCTCCTGCCTGTTTCCTTATCCCCCCATATCTTCCCGTGCAAGTCGCCTTTTACGACTGACGAATATGAATATGGCTGACGTCCAGTTGATCGACCCAAATATTGCTGGAGCCACCGGGTGGAAGCTGAAATCTGGCGAGAGCTTGCGCAGGACAGGGAGAAGTGGCATGTTCTAGTGTCTGGGGCCAGTACCCACTTCGAGGTCACTGCACCACAGGAGTGTGTGATTATATAATTACATCTATGGCGTTACACTTTTATGGTTTTATAAGTGTAGTACCAGTTACTCGGCTTCACAGAGTCAGTAATTGATTCTTTCAAAACCCCAGAAAATATACAAAATCTGACTTTCGCTAAGTTAAAAAACTTCATTTAAGAAAGATTGTATAAAAAGTGTTATTATAAATATGAAGGGATTCATGGTTGATAATAACCCCCGGGAAAAGAGGTGATCGCCATGATATTTATAATATGTTTTGGGTTGGTAATTATTATGTAACTTTAATGATTGTAAACTGTTCTTTTCCTTAAAAACCCGCTGCGTTTCTCGATGGTTCTACTAAAAACAGAGGTATATTCCGACCAATGACAAAAAACATAGGAGTAACTTTCATTCATCAATATTTCATAAAAATTTTCTCTTTCTATTTCTATGACTGGTATGTGTTACGATATGGTCGAATTGTAGCTGAATGTCTAGTGCAGTACGCAGTTTTATTGCTGATAATGACTAATTGCGTAAGCCAGATAACAAGTTAAACATCCGCTTTCACACTATTATTTTAATAATAATCCTTTACTTTAGTTCTGACATTTATAATATTCTCTAGGGAAAATGGTGTTACAATTTCCTATTGTCCTTTAATTTTTTTTTGTAATGAAGCATATTATAAATGAAAAAACTACTTGAAGAAATAATTAATACTTACAGTATAGCATTAAAATGAATAATCTATTAACTTTGCACGGCATAAACACTTAATAGTAAGTTATAGAAAATTTTACCCCTCAGACATTGATACAGACTTCGTGCAATCGCAATTTCCATCCAGTTACGTGAACGTGGCGGTACATTGTAAAACATGGCATTCAAGCATAATTCTGAGTGTTTTCATAGTAACATTTCAACTTGGAACATTTTCGGAATATGGCCGAAAGAAAACTCAATCAAATATTACACTTTCCTTTCCGTTGTTTATGCGATACTTACACTTATTACGTATAACGTGATTTTAACTATAAATTTATTTTATACATATAATCAAATAGAAGAATTAATTTCAGAAGTCATTTTCTATTTCAACGAAGTAACGATTATGTCAAAAGCGTATATGGTTATATTCAAAAGAAAGCAAATTATAGAAGTGTTGAAAATTCTAGATTGTGAAGAATTCAAGGGTACTGATGCTATAACTACCGAAATAATACAGAAAGATTTGTCAACATACAGAACTTGTTACAAAACATATAACTATTCTTGTATTATATCGTTTATGTTAAGAGTCGTTGTACCAATTTTCGTACATTTAATTTGGGGTAATCACCTCGGGTTACCCATATCTAACTATAGGTTACTTAATGATGAAGTTCGGGAAAAATACTTTGTTTTATGTTACTTATATCAAAGTATTTCTATGTATGGCCACATGATGTACAACATCAACGTTGATACGTTTATAGCTGGTCTTATATTTTTAACGATTACTCAACTTAAGGTACTTAAATACAATCTAAATAATTTGAAAGTAAATGCGAATGAGCTGAGATATAGTAAAGAGTTTCAAGAAAATCTTCAAGTGATTAAACTTAAGCAATGTTTAGCACATTATGATAAAATAATACTGTATGTAATATTGAATTCATATCAATATTTGGTAATGTAGCAACTATCAACACATTTTATTGTTTTGTTTTTCAGGTTTCAATCAAGTGTTCAAGAAATATCAAGTATCACATTGTTCGTGATGTTTGGAATGGCATCAGCTATAATCTGCGTTATTCTATGTGGATTTTATTTAGTACTTGCCTTATTTAATACATTATTTTATACTGTAGATCTTGACAACAGCGCCACCTACCGGGTCACCCAAACACACACAAAAAACTTCATCAAAATTAGTCCAGCCAGACTGACGGATAGCAATAGATTTTATATATAGTGATTTTGTAATATTTTTACATGGTAGACCGTCGCAGCTTTATCATGGCTACAGTACGAAATGGACGGCTCAACCGGAAGAGGACCACGCCGTTAAAGAACATCAGTCTCTTTAGCTAGTAAAATAGCAGTATAATGCTACTACGTTTCGTATGATGGGCGAGAATGGGAAACTTTTTTTATTAATAACGGGGTATTTCAACTCTATGCTCAGAGGAGCCAGTGCATCTGAAATTTGTCTAGTCGTAAATAATGGTATTTTAAATAGTGTGCCCGTTTGTTATCTTTACTTGTATAAACATTATTTTCCCCAATGCTCCAGAACAAGTGTGACGTTCTACAGGGTTCGAACTTGTTATACTATTAATTCTATCAAAAACTAAATTGACATTTTTTCTATTAGATTTATCTACTGGCCAGTATTATAGTAATATTCTAGTAATGGATTACCATGCAGTTCTAATATTTATTTATTTTTATTTATTTATTTACCGAGTAAATATACAAAAAAAAACTTTATTCGGCAAATAACCACATGGAGATACTGGTCCTTGAGAAATTGACATTGGTAACGTAAAAATTTCTCTACATTTTTAATACGCGATTTAATCCAAAGGAATTCAATCCTGATCTTTTGAAAGAAACTTTTGCTTATCGTTGTCATTCAAATTTCTTATATTCTATTAAGTGGGATGCGGGAAGTAAAGACTGTGTTAGAACCTCCGAAGGAGGCGCAGTTATAGCCAAAATAAGAATTTTAAACTTATTGGTTTTTGCCTATTTTGACTCCCTAGGACTTTATTGAAAACTTTTTGCCCCTATTCAACCATAACCCCCATGACGTCCTCTACATGATAGGCTAATAAAACTGACTATGCCTAAAGTTCGAGCCACCCCTAATTTTTTGTTTTTTTTTTGCCATTATGACACCCTAGGAGTGTAATGAGAGCTTTTGCCACTATTCGACCATGACCCCCATGGCATCCTCTCCATAATAGGCTATTCAAACTCACTAGGCCTAAAGTTCGAGTCACCCCCCAACTCATTTCTAAAGTATATCATCATTTCAGCCCATCACAAGTCCACTGCTGAACATAGGCCTCCCCCAAGGAATGCCACAAAGCACAGCCCTGAGGCACCTGCATCCATCAACTTCCTGTCTTACCAGGTCGTCACGCCATCTAGTGGGGGGATTCTCTACACTTCAACCGCTGGTACGAGGCCGCCACTCGAGAACCTTTTTGTCTCCCAATTACTTCCAATGAATACCATTTGCTGATTACTAAAGAAACTGCGTGGACATTCATTATTATTAAAAAAATCCATGATAATATATTAAGAATAAGAACTAATGAGAAAATTGTGTAATAGTAGAACTAATAATAGAACTAGTTGAACAAGGCCTTGTTTAGGTTCATGTATGTATGTATGCTTAAACTAAAACTGTATAATATTATTTAAGATGAAACTGTATAAAAAGGATTACTACAATATAAATGAATACATAGTTGATAATAACCCCTGGGAATGAGGTGGTCGCTTCTCGTCGTAAATAGTTTGTAGAACCATTAATCTAAAATTTACTTAAAAAAAAGTTCCGCTGGGTTTCTTGCTAGTTCTTTCCAGGACAGAGGGTTTTTTCGAACCATTTACTTTACCAGTAAAAAATGACTTTCAATAAGAATTACACATGTGATCTTTATTGAATAATAAATTATTCTATTTGTGTTTTTTTATAGCATAAAGGTGACAAACGAGCACACAGTCCACCTGATGGTAAGTGGTTGCTGCAGCCCATAGACATCTACATTTATCCTCCTTTACAAATCAAAATGCAGATGCGTTGTAACCCGTGAGGACTAAGATGGAATGCCTCATTTCCAGTAGAAAGGGTCTCGGTTCTCTACACTCACCATACGAAACACAGCAACGTTAAGCTGCTATTTTACGCTGGTATTCTGTGAGAGCGTAGTCCTTCCGCGGTCAAGCCGACCCATTCGTGCTACAACTATACTACTAATATAGCTGCAGCATGGCTCTACCACGTAAAAACCACGTATGTGTGTGTTGTCACATGTCTTAGTTGACTTGAACTGAATTTCTTCTTTAACTTTAACAGTTATTCAAAGTTAAAGTGTTAAAATGTCTTATAATAACTTTATTTGTTTAAGCCTTCAACAACGGACAATTTGATATTTATGGTAACGTACTTAATTACAATGAGTGCAGCTACATTTTTTTACTCATGGCTGGGAAGTCAACTTATATACGAGGTAAATTAATAATAAAATGGCAAGTTCGTGACACTAAACATTTTACTCGTTTAAAAAGTTTACATTCATTTTTTATACATTCCTTACAACCCATCACAAAGCCAGCTGAAAAGAGGTCTCCCCATAAAATCCTCAGATAGAGTATATTTGCCACAGTTGCTATGTTTCATAGACGAATTAACTTTGAACTGCTGTTTTTTTTTTATTATTGATTATCTGGAAGATGCTGCGGCCCATCGCCTGTTTCAATTTTTCCTCTGTTGCCCACGGAATGATATAAATTCTCTTAAACCGCCAATATACGGCAAATGCTTAATACTAAAGTTAATAAATCTCAAACAATCGATAGAATACTAAAATTTTAAAATTACAGCCTGTATTCATCCCACAGCTGGGACTGCAGACTTCCTCTCGTTTATTAATAATAATTTCTTATTAATTACGTTTTCTTTGTTTAGTAAAATGAGATTACTTATATATTTTTTTTCAGAGTCAGGAATTAGTATTTGCAGCGTATAGTTGCGAATGGATAGATAGGTGCCAAGAATTCAAACGCAGCGTCGTTATTTTAATGGAACATGCAAAAATACCATTGGTAATGGTAGGCATGAAAATGTTTTTATTATCACTGGATACATTTATTACGGTAGGAATATTGTAGCTAAGTTAAAATAATTAGTTATGTATTTCTTGTTAAAAAGTTGTTGCTTGTGTTCTATTTTCGATTTCAGATTGTAAAATCTGCTTTCTCTCTTGTAACATTAATAAGAAGTTTTCAAGACGAGGAAGATGGATCGTAAAAATATTATTGGTGCCTGCGCAATACAATTTTTATTTTATAAATGTAATGAAATATGCAGCATTCTATGTGTTAGCTTTTTTACCCTACTATATACTTGTAATTATATTTAAAAAAATATATAAAACTTATGTAATTTAATGTCAATCTCTATATTATGAATAATAGATACTTAATGATGTGCAAATAAATAAAAAAAAATCTAGGACGAACTAACAAACGAGAGAGTTTTCTAAGAGCGTTTGCTTAGCTTTTAGCAATTTTAATTCAATAACATATTCATAATTAAGTGTTGACACTTACTTATTTCTGTAGTGCACAGTGTATTGTGATGGTTAGTTCACATTATACTATACATATTATTTTAAATAAAACTTGCAATTCACTTTTGTCTTTTAATTAGAATACAACCATTTAATAAGTAATTATAACTTTTCACAAAAAGTAAAAATCGACTTCAAATTGCTAAAAAAGAAGTTATTTATTTGCTACCCTTAGGGGTGAAGTTCTTTCTCCAAATTTATATGGGACCACCCTTGAAGTACCTATTTAATAAAAAAAAGGAATCATCAAATGGGTTCACAATCTGCGAAGATAGCGCGTAACATACATACAAAAAAATATACACTCAAATTGTAAACCTCCTCCTTTTTGAAGTCGGTTAAAAATAACATTTTCATAATATTTCAGCAAGCTACATCACATAGTATGTTCCTAGTAAGAAGAGTCATAGCCATCTTTATACGATTGACTATAAATTTAATACCGAAAAGTTTACGTTCTAACAATGACGTGGTAGAGCCATGCTACTTTATGGATACAGCACGAATGGCTCGGTTCAGCCGGGGTAAGGCCACGCTCTCACAGAATATCAGCGTGAAACAGCAGAGTAATATTGTGTTTTGTGTTTCAATGAGTGTAGACAACCCGAGACCCATTTTACTGGCAACGAGGCATTCCATCTTAGTATTTAGAGAAGAGGCATTTTGATTGTTAGTCGAGAATAGATGAAGATGTTTATGGGCCGCAGCATCCACTTACTATCATACGGACTGTGTGCTCACTTATCACCCTTATTAATTTTTCATTAAATTCAATTGGCCATTTAAAATTAAGGTTTAAGCATTAAGATTAAAAAGGTGTAATTGTAAAAATTACTTTTATATAGGTCTTTTTTCTTTTCTTGTTACTGAAATACCCTGATTCCCTGATGATGTCGTAAGTAGAATCCGTAGGGTTGATGTATTAAATGAATTAAAATTGTAAGTAATACAAGCAAATGAGTACTATCTATACAAATAAATAAAATTGAAGTGTCTGTTTGTTATGTCAAAATACCAGTTTTTTATTAAATGCGTATGAAAGGGTATACGGTACTTATAACAAAAACACAAATTTTAAAATTTTTGTCTGTCTGTCGGTCTGTCTGTCTGTGTATTTGTTCCGGCTAATCTCCAAAACGACTGGACCGATTTCGACGGGACTTTCACAGGCAGATAGTTGACGTTATAAAGATTAACTTAGGCTACTTATATTTTAGAAAAAGAATTAGGGTTCCGCGCAACATAATTAAAACCCTTAATTATACGCGGGCGAAGTCGCGGAGAACAGCTAGTCCTATATATAAATGAAAATGAAGTTTCACGAAGGTATAACAATTGCTAGTATATATCTATTGTTCTCTATGACTTAATTAGAAGTTTTTAAATTCAGCACGGAATATTTTACTAAAGCTAGAGTCCTGCTTGTGATAGCCGCTCTGAGTGGGCTTGAGGAACCCACTTCGAAGTCGTGGAGAGTGGGAGCTTCGCCACTCGCCCTATATGCCGCAATTCGACTCTGACTAGACCCAACCACTGAAGGGGACTTTGGAAGCCGTGAGGGGAGGATCAGTCAGTATTGCGATGCATCACTCTCCCTATGCTCCGTGGGCCACGGTAACGTGGTTTTTGAACCTATGGTCTCCGTGTTATGGGCTCAGGTTAGGGTCCGTTGGATATGGAGGTGTGAAGCAAGTCTGCTTTGTGTCCCTGCGCCTCTTTCCTAATGAGGAAGATGGGAGGAATTGTCATCTGTCAAGAGATCCCGCGAGGGGGCAGAGACGAGGCCCCACGAGGGTAATCATGCAGTACTTTGCAATGTATGCATCGAGTTTTTCCATATACATTTTATAGATTAATCTTTTTACTTATTTTATGTGCGTATTTTTAAATCACTTTACTTAATTAGCTATTTAAACTGATTCAATGAATTTTGATTCTCTTTCTTTTAATAATAGCTGATTGTTCTTTAGAATTTTATTTATTACATAGCAACGCTCGACGTGCTACAGTAAGTAATGAATGAAATGATGAAACTCACCTGCAAACCTTAACGATGACTGCAGGCTACGCCATTGTTAAATACATAACATTCCAGACTGGAAAATCGTAGCCGAGCCTGATTTATTTAAAATTATTTCGGATGATATATTAAACAAAAATAACGAAAAAATTATATATATGCAAACATTTTCTCTAAATGTATTCTCTCTCAAGTGTACAACTTTGACGATCGACTAATATCAAAAAATAATACGTTATTATCCCTACAAACATTCCCTGTTTAAATAAGTAAGAAGAGGCCTGTGTTCAGCAGTAAACCGAATATAGACAGTAACTTTACTTTACTTTTTCTATGCCATTAATGAATGGAACACATAAAGATGCTATCATTGAACCGGTGCGATCATGACAACTTCTTTAATTATTACTACTTTTAAGACTTTCTTTAATTAACTTAAAACTCACGACACATATTTAATGACTAATGATCTGACATCAAAGATTACTCTTGACGTGGTGGAGTAGAGCCATGCTGCAGCTATATAATGGTTGTAGCATGAATGGGTCGGCTCGACTAGGGTATACTACCACACTTTCACATACCTAATACCAGCGTGAAACAGCAGAATAATGCTGAGGAGTTTCGTATGGTGGCTGTAGAGAATCGGAGGGGTGACAATGCATCTGCATTATGATTTTTAATCGATGAGAGATTAAGATGTCTTTGGGCCATAAAATCCACTTACCTTCAAGTGGAATGTGTGGTCGTTTATTACCCTTATTCTTTAAAAAATACTGAGAACGTATGACCAGTTTAATTAGATATTTGTTAAACAATTATGAAAGGTATGTATGTGGTCTCTGGTACTTAAGCCTCTTCGGAAACCAGCTTGTTCGAGAGGCTGGAAGTCGTCAACTCTGCGTGAGAGACGATTCTTAGTGACTCTCAAAAACAGCACGTAGACGCGGCTCAGAAGGGATATAGGGCTGTAGTTCTTCAAGAGAGCATTGTCACCTTTCTTGAAGAACAAGACCACCGCACTTCTGCACAGAGCATCTGAAGGACTTCAAATATCGGTTTTCCATCCGCTTTCAGAAGCTCCCTTGTAATTCCATCCTCGCCTGGGGCCTTGCCGATTTTAAGGTGCTGGAGAGCCATTCTAATCTCGCTCAGACTGACGTCCGGGGTATCATCGGAATAGTGTCGGATAAGACTTGCTCTCGGATCGTAATTCACACTTGCGTGTGGTTCTAACGATGATGTGTAGAGCTGCCCATAGGACCTCTCAATCTCACTCAAAACCTCAGGTGTCCTGAAAACGATGCTGCCACATTCGGTCTTCAGCTTCGATAGTTAGCTCTTTATGGTAGATAGATCTCTGGCAAAGACTTTGAAGCCCTGGTTCCGCTCGACCGCTTCTTCAATACGGGAAGTATTAAAGTTATTCAAGTCACGCCGCATGCATTTGGAGATCTGTCTGTTCAGTTGCCTGTAAGCTGTTAAATCTACTGAACACTGCAGCTTCATTTCCCGTCTAATAGCCATGAGATTAAGAGTGTGATCGGAGAGTTTTTGTGTTTTTGTTTTTGTGTTCTACGGCGAGTCTTGCAAAACTTAGCTCCGACCGCATGGACAGTTTTCACAAGCTTGTCATTCATATCGTCCACTACATTTCAATATTCTAGGCACTGAAAACGATTTTGTAACTCGAGCTGAAAAGTTTCTGGACTCTCGATTAGCGCACGAGGGGGACGGAGCGTTGACTTCATAAGACAACACCTCTCCGACTTAATATTTAGATTCAATGTGCCTCTAACCATTCGGTGATCGCTACCAGTTTTCACCCTCGCTGTCACTGATGTCTCAGGACATTCCTGAACAGTTGCCGTCTTGTCGTCATAATGCCATAATCGTCGTAGCCCAACGGATTAGTAAGCTGAAGTAGCAATGGACCGGCCATATAGCTCGACGAACTGATAACGGATTGGGAAGCAAGGTTCTCGAGTGGCAGCCTCGTACTGATAGGCCAAGTGTGCGGTGGCTCCCCTCTAGATGTAGTGACGACCTGGTAAGAGATGCAGGAAGTCAATGTATGTGAGTGGCTCAGGATCCTGCTTTGTGGCATTCTTTGGGGAAGACCTTTGTTCAGCAGTTGACTTGTGAAGGGCTGTAATAATAATGAATAGAATAATTTAGTGAAACAGAGTCCGGTAAGCAAGTTTAGCATTTTTTGTATTATTTGGGGGGTGCTTGATAGAAAACCGCCCTGGGTATCAACCCACGCTACGCTGCCACTGTTGGATCACTTGTAAAATTATTTTTATCGACATGACAATAATGGCAACTATGGCGGCAAGGATCCAAAACAGTCAACTGCCAAACAAATAGCTTACCTAAGAAGTATAAGTAAGAGACAAGAAATTACAATCAATAAATTCCATTCATTCATTAGATTATATCAGAGTCAACAGCTGGACATAAAAGATATTCAAATTTTTCACCGGTTTTACTTATGAGAACGTGAGCCTTAGTGGTCCAATCATCGCAACCTACCCCTAATCCTTAGCCAACTCTAGATAACGACATTTAGAAAAAATATGTTCACAATAATGTCAAAGATTCAGCTTCTTAAACTTATATTCTTTAAAAAGAATTATTTTTTCATAAAAGGTTTTT